CACCCTCCCGCACAAACTCAGGATTTCTTCCCCTGTCTGTGGCAGAGCAGGGTTCCGATCTCTCGTTTATTGCCCTATAAATAGCTGCAAGGCAGGCGGTGCCAGACCTCAGGTCACATTTCAGCCCTGAATGAATTGCCAGTTTGCTATTGTAATTACCCAGGTTGGAAGGGAGGACGGATTGACAAACTTAGCCTAAGTAAACTCTCCGAGAAGACTTGGCAACCTCCACCTCTACAACCTGCTTATTTAATTGGAGGGCTCTTCTAGGCCAAATCCTGTCTGCGAGCGCGCCCCGTGATGTGTTTATAGCCATGGCACAAGCTTATTTTGTCTCCACGCTAAATGCTATCTATTAGGAGCATGGCTACAGAGAAACAGACACCGCTGCTGGGGCGAGCCTTGGTGCTGTACGGAGAGCATCACGGAGTGACTGCACGGCCACGGGGCCAAGCTGTGCTGCTGCAGCAAAGCGAAGCGAAGCGAAGCGAAGTGAAGTGAAACAAAGTGAAGCGAAGTGAAGTGAAGCAAAGCAAAGCAAAGTCTCCTGGGTCCAGCTACATGTCCCCGCCGGTGTGGCCAGGCTCCTGCAGCGGGTCTGACCCCCTAAGAGGCAGAGGGGAGCCATGGAAGTAGACGGCTTCAGGCTCTTTTGGTGCAAAGGGCTATCATAAACTGTCTTCATACTCTGCTCTTACTTTACTGTGATCATTAACTACGGCGAGATTTTGTATTTTCAGGGGCTCAAGGGACTGGAAGGTGGCGAAGGAGGAAAATACATCAGAGGGATATGGAAGAGAGAGCTTTTGGCTACAGAGCCTCCAGCAGAGCTTGAGCTGGGCTTTGTGCTCTCTTTTCTTTCTCCCCCACCCTCGTTTTGCAGCACTGGTTCCCAACACATGGGCCACCTCGGCCAACAACAAGAAGCCTGCCTTGACTGAGCCAACCATCTCCCCGGCAACAAGGCAGGCTGCGAACATAACAAGTGCTTTCCTTTTCGTTTCATTTTGCCCACCTCTCGAGCAATGCCCTGCCTTTTATTTGGCCCCGCTGCTCCAAAACCTGAACGCTGGGAGCTGAAATGCACATTGTGGAGGGACGAAGAGGGGGCAAGCGAGGAACCTGGCTTTGGCCTTAACGGGGGAATCCGACAGATCTTTGGGCGTTGGCGAAGGACAGGCTGAAGCATTTGCCTGGTGCTGTTCCAGCGGTGAGCCCATCGCACCCAGCACTGCAGGAACTGCAGGACATGCAGCAAGCAAGCAGGCTGCAGCTGCTGCTGGACATCCAGACCCAATTAACACTTCGGTTACGTTCCCATCGCTGCCATCAGCTGCCTGGGTGCAGGACTGGAGGCAGCTCCCACACATAGTGCCCCCCGTGCCAGCCCGCTCCACTGGGTTGTTTGATTGATTAAAAACAAACCACTTATTTACTTTTTTACATCACCAGCTGGTATTTTAAAATGTCACACCTCTATGTCCCTCTTTAGCTCCTCAGCACAGGAGTTAGATGTTGTACAAAACATCAGGCCGCTGCAGACACATTTTGCTACAAAGCCTGAAAGGGAAAAAAAATCCCCGTAGAAAATTTTTAACACTTCAGCCCCTTTGTAGTTTTCCCTTTCATAGCTGAAGCAGAGCCATTTCCAGACTCCCACTGGGAAAAAAAAATCAATTTTAAGGCCATTTCCTGCCACCTCCCAAACCCTGGGCCTGTGGACCTGCCACCACCCCAGGTGTTTGTATCTGATCCCGGCGCCTGATACTGGGATTCTCTGTTGAGTAATTACAGAACAATTTCAGCCTATTTCTGTCTGGTTTATGCTAATATCAACACTCGACAGCTGGTTTTGTAGCCTTCGTGGGTTCATTTTCTCTGTGTTAGCCAGGGAGGGAGGATGGAGCGCCGATGGCCCAGAAGTTGAGGGACACCTCCAGGCCTCCTGCAGGCCCCATCCCCTCAGGGACTGCTCTTTTCCCCCCCGACTGCTTGTGGCATGTGAAAAGGTTGGTGGCATCGCACTGACACCGCTCTTTGGGAGTTTCAGACGGACCCTCTGGGCTGTGTGCCGGTGGCAATGTGATGTGTGACGGCGGGATGTGCTCCATCTGCCCACACAGGGCAAGGAACGGTGACCCGGGAGCTGCCTGCAGACCATGAACCTTTCAGCAGGCAGACAGAAAGCCTGTTCCTGGAGCAAGCACCACGTATAGAAGTGAAATCCTACACGCAGACTGTTTTGTTCCTAACCTGGGGACAGGTCCTTATCGGCAGAGCAGGTCAGCGAGACCTGGAGCGTCTGCTTTTTGTGATTAATGTTGTCTTTTTAGCTTGTATTTCCTATCTTGATCGCCTTTTGACGGACAGGAGCAAAGAGATTTAGCCTGGACTCTTCCCGCAGCCTTTCACGTCCATCAGACTAAATACTGGAGGCATAATTAAGGGCAGCAGAAAAAGGAGACGAGCGAGAGAGGATTTGGTTATTTTACCTCAATAACAAAAGTACAAACCGTCCAATTCACACTTATTACGTAGGGGAGGCTGAGGTGGCTTTTTCCCTTGCTCTGAACATTGCCAGCATGCCATTCTGAAGGAATAACGGAGGAGAGGCATCTCCTGTGGAGTTTGGGGGGGGAAAGCTGTAAAAGCTAAGCAGAGCCTGGAGAAAACCTGTCCCGGGGCCATGTCCCCTCCTTCCCTGCTGCTGAACAGGGGTCGGAGCAGCCCAGCTCCAGCTCCCCTTTGCTGAAGCCCTTTCTCCTGGGGGCTTAAGTGATGAGCAGGGAAAATCCCCCACAAAAAGATTTGCATTGGAAACCCTTGGCCGGGGAATGACTTTTAAAATAGAAAAGCTCTGCTTGAAAAGGGATGAACTGTGTAGCGTAATACTCAACAAATCGCCTGTTTAATGGCCTCTCTTTATAGCAGCTGTGTATTAATAACAAAAGAAGGGGAGCAGAAGCCATGCATTTCTTTGCAAGATTAAAATAAATGGCATTTCCTACTAATACCAGCAACTTTCTGCGGAGGTTGGCTAAGAGAAAGGAGCAAGTGGAAGCCCCCAGCCTGAGAGGCCATTTCTTGGTTTCTTTCCCTTCCATCTGCTGCTGGATGAAGGAGTGCTAAGCCTACGAAGGGAGAAGACACTGAGTCACCCCCTCCCTGATAGTGAAGATCTGAAGATCTGTACTGCCATAAAGCTGAAGTTGAAACACGAGTGGTTCATGCCAGGTACATGGCAAAACATCACGGGGACACTAAAACAGTGGTGCAGGCTGCCCGAAGAGTCTCCATCCTTGGGGGATTTCGGACCTGACTGGATAAAGCCCTGAGCAACCTTGGACCTTAGAGCTTGGGCCAGATGCCTCCTGAGGTCCTCTCTAGCCTGAGTTCCTTTATGATCCTAGGGCATTTGGCATCTTTTCCGTAGGAATATGAATGGAGGTGACATTTCATGCAGCCCAGAAGTCCATCTCTCATTCCTGGCAGCCCTGATAACAGCCCTCCCGCTCCGTGCCCCCTGCTTCGCCAGGCCTGACACTGAAGCAATGCTGAGTTTCCTTCCTTAGAATTAGGGCTTTGGGCATTACAAAAAGAAAAGAAAATTTACAATTTCAAGCTGTCTGCCACAGACTGTTTATCAGACATGGAGAATGATTTGTTTCTGTTTTCCTGGACATAGGTTTTTAGCTGAGACAAGATACGTTGCCTTGCTGAGAGCTGAGTCACTGAGTAATCAACAGATTAATGTAGTCAGTTTGAAAGCCATCAGCATTAGTTCTCGGCAAGCTCACAAGAACTCCATTATTGTATCATCACTACATTTGGGATGAAAAAGTCTCCAGGATTTAGAGTTCCTGAGGGAAAGATCCCTAGATGCAAAGAAATCCAAATGCCCCTTTGCGACTGGGAGACATAAAGTACCTCTTTATGCAGGAACACCACAGCAGGATTTTGGCATCCTTTCCACCGAATGCTTTTATTATCAACCCTTAGATAAGGAGTTTGGGGTATGTAATACATCTGTCATTTGATAGCTACCTAAAAATAGTCATGATAAACTCAGCGGCATACAGGACTTCGCCTCTACCAGGTCTTTAATCTGAAATAATTTCCAGTGAAACCAAGTAGTTTTACTTTCTGCAAAACGAGTGGTCTTGACTTCCCTAGAGCTCTGTGTTTCTTCATGTGGGCTTGCTTTGATCCACAAAGGCAAAAAGGAGAGACAGAGGATGGCAGAGTCACCCGGCAAAGGAGCCACCGTTTAAAAATAGGGAGCTGGTTAAAGTAACAACACAGGAGCAACTGCAGAAGGACAGGCTAACTTAGGTGTGTGGCCTGAGGAGACTGCCTGATATCCACTTGTTATTCTGGCAGAAACACGCCAACGCTGCTACCCAAGACCCCATCTGTAATAACCCCAGTGGATCAATGCACCTTCCTGTTTGCAAGTGAAACTGCTGCTTGGGCACGCTTGGATGGGAGATGTGAGTAAAAGCCAGTCAAGCCCCTGCAAAAGTGCAGTTCATCCTAAAAGCCTTCCTCCATTAACAGGCTGCTGGACGGGATCAGCAAGGCTTCTCCCCGAGACATCGCTTCTTGCAGCTCAGCACCCACACGCGCAGTGGACAGGACAAATCTCCTCACTGTTGCCCCAGGACTGTCAGTACCTCTCTCTTTAGGCTGTCCCGAGATGAAAAGAATTATTTTTCACGTGGCCTGGCCAGTGCCAGGGCGCGAGAGATTGTGGCTGTTGTGACACAGAGCTCCCCAGGGCCACGCTTCCGAACGTAGTGGGTATGTCATGTGCAATTGCAGCGACGCACCTATTTGTTACACAAACCGCACGCAACAGGCAACAAACAGCAACGCGAATATGTCCCCCTCCCTCCTTTTCCCCCCAAGACATTCAGATCACACTAACACATCCTGTTTGTGCTCTGGAGCACCCTGGCACTCCAGCAGGCTGTGCGCAAGCAGCGGTGACTTTAACTCACCCGTCGCTCCTTATCTCCATACTCGATGCCCAAGGTATCCATGGCGCGCACGATAGCCGCCAGTGACTGTATGGTGTTGCTGTAGACCACCGGCTTGTACTGCTTCACGTCCTCTCCCGAGAAGCCATCCTCGTGGATGATCCTGGAGAAAAAGCAGAGGACAAAAACCTGTTGAGAATGGCATTTCAGCAGGGGAAGCATTTCAAACAGTGCTGTGTTCCTTTGAAGAGCACACCTGCCAGCCTGCCCCAGGTCATTTAGGCAGAATTTCTTTTTACACCTCCCTGGTTGTTCACCACGAGGGCATCCCAGCCCGCCCCTTCCGCTCTTTGCTGAGGTCTGGTGTCCGACTTGGAGCCTGGTCAGCCCCCTGCTCACATCTGTGCCGGTCCCAAGGAGGAGGTTTCCACATCCCAGCTTATCTTTCCTGTCCATGTCTACGGAATTACGCCCACAGATCAGATCTAAATGACCGCAAACAGGTGATGGAAAACCTTAAGTCGTGGCTGGCCCTTTTCATAGTAACTCCTGGGGTGCCTACAAAAGGAGCCCCAGTCGAAATCCCCCGTGTGCACGCGGACACAGGCATGGATAAAGGAAGAGATTTAGCTGTGTAGCACACAAAGTGCTTACAGCCCTTCACACACCTCCTTCCCAAGCCATGCTGAGAGTTTTTGGGCTCTCAGACCCTGCAAAAGGAAATATGTGATGGAGTGAGACTCTGCCATGGCCCTGCACCTGGGGGGCAGCCTCACAGTGCTCCTCCCAGCCCAGATCCTCCTCAGAGGCCCATAGCAGGACACAAAATCCTGCACTTGCCTGGGCAGCAGCCCGGCCCCTGAGATTTCTCCATCTCTCAGGGACTGGAGAGCTACGGCAGGGTGTGTGCAGAGCACAGCCAGCGTTCCCAGAGCTAATTGAGTTTGACAACCATTCTTCCCGGTGAAGACATAAGTTATGATCCCGTCTCTTAAATACTAGCAGAGCAGATGATCCTGCTTAGCCCAAACGCACTCCTTCCTTGCTCAGCCTCAGATCTCACCGGACACCAGATAAGATTCGGTAACAGATTTGCCACTGATAAAACCAAGCAGCCTGTCCGTAACAGGACTTTTTATTTTTTCATCTTTGCTGCATCACAAACCAAGGTCCTGAGCAACGCTGGCATCTCCCCCCAGGGACAGGGAGGTCTAGCAGGGATCGTACGTGAGCTTGCAACTGGAGACAGCGCCGGGGTGGCAGCGGAGAGCGGGGCTGGCAGCCAGCCTCGTGTTACTGCTGGATGGCTACACCCAGAGCAGGGCGACACGAACGCACTGAGCACGGCACAGCTCTACTTCCCACGATGTGAACCTCACAACAAGGTGTTTTAAGGCAAGTGGCAACCCTCTGCCCTCTCCAGCACGACACTGAACTCCGGCCTCCTGGCAGGACTCGCTCCAACACACCTTGAGTCCTGCAGAAACACAGCTGCAAGCAGAGGACGTGGGGCAGCTCAGATTAACAGTCCAGGGCATTTTGAAGCTGCTGATCTGAGTCTCTGGGCAGAGACCCCGCTTAGAGCTAGTCTGGGTTTTTAAGAAGACTTACGGACAGCACCCAGTGCTCACGGCTGGGTAACGGGGAAGGAGCAGGGCCCGGAGCCGGGTGTGAGCAGCACGTCGCACGGCTCAGTGAGCGTTGCCTGGCCGAGCTGCTGAAGCGCTGGGAAACGTGCTTGGCCAAGAGCTGCAGTGAAACCTGAAGAGTTACGGCTGGCATGAAGCACAGGAATCTGCTGAATTCAGCCCCTTCGGCACCAGTTCCCCAGCAGGCAGCACGGCAGCCACAAGCACAGCAGGGCAGGGGTCCTGGGGAGGCAGGGGGCTGGCACCAGCACCTCCTGAAATAACTCATCCCTTTTGGCTGCTCACTTTGGGGTGGGAGCTGGGGGCAGGGGGTACTGAATGGTGTTCAGGGCAACGAAGAGAAGGGAACAGAGGGGAATATGGAAGGGGTGAGAAGAGGAACAGGCACAAGGGGCAGTGTAAGGGCTGCAGGACGCAGGGGGGATGTGTCTGGTCCTGACGCCCTGCTGCACTGGGGGAAAGGGGAGCAAGGAAACCTTGGGCTGGTTTGGGTTGTGTCCATCACCGACAGGCATCAGCTAGGGACAGGGCTCAGCAGGAAGAGGTGAGCTCTGCCCTCCTTTAAAACATCTCCATCCCCCAGCCATGAAGTTGTTGCCCAACACTTCCATGTCTAAGTGCAAACCCTCGGCGTTTCCAAACCCTCCAAGGCAGTGAGCCCCCTGCCATGCAGGGGCAGAGCTAAGCGATGGAGGGCAGCTCCGGTGTCCCTCAGCAAACATCCTGCTGACGGGGCAGCACGCTGACGTCCTTCAGAGCGCGGACATAAAAGCGTTGCTTTGAAACGGGGCATAAAAGAACACGGAGGAAAAAAAAAAAAAAAAGCAACCCGATTGTTCTTCTGTGAAATTTCTCTGGGAAGGCAGCCACCGCGGCTGAAAGCAGCGCTGCAGATGCCAGTATTGAAGTTTTGCTGTAGGAAGTACCTACGGATTAATCAATCACGCAGTTAGCACATTACCTAAGATTTGAGCGAGCAAATCCCCACTGACTAGTGCTGTTCCAAAGGCTGCTAGGACACCGTGAACTGGTTTATTGTCCTATATGCTTTCAGCAAAACGCTTCCCTTCTTGCTCGCCTTGGTGAGCTGCTCGCTGAGCCCTTCTGGCAGCCTCTTCCGTGGTTCTTTGGGAATGTTCCTGCTGCCACTCACCCTGTTGGGATGTGCCCATCTCCTTGCCTGCAGGACGGCTGCTGTGCTTCATTTTACAGGGACAGACCCTCACGACGTTACCTCCAAAGCTCCAGCAGCGCCCGGGAGGTGCTCTGCTAGGGGAACAGCCCCAGGACACGAGCAGCGGTGGGTTTCGGACCCTACAGGCGGCTGTGGCCATTAGAAATGCAAAGCGTGTAGGAAGGAATAGAGCAGTGTGTCAAGGCTGGGAAGCCTTTAAAGATTCAGGCAGGGTGGGCTGCTCCTTAAGCAGCTTGCAAATTCATGGGAACAGAGGGTTTTCAGCACTAAGAAGTTGGGTCCTGTTTTCCAAAGGGCTTGCATTTGTTTCTGCCTGAAATCCATGCTCTGCCGCGCTGGAGCTGGTTCTTCCCAGGGCAGAGGAAGAAAAGGGATTTAAGAGGATCCCGGGGGCTGCAGAGGGGGGAGAGACAATGCTGTAATTTTTTAAAGCGATTCCGAGCAATTAAAAAGCCATTTCATTCACCGAGTGATTAATGAACCGCCGTGCTCTGAATGGGATGGTGCGAGACGACTGAAATGAGCTGACTGCCTACCGGCCCCCTTCATGCCTGCTTCCTGCCCATCGCCACCAAGCCCACGTGCTTGCATCTCATACTGTCATACCCCTTTTAGGGTGGTGTTAGCAGACAGGTATTTGCTGAGAAGGGCTCTGCTGCAGGGCAGATCTTCTGCCATCCCCCAGCAAAGCATTAATCCCGAAGAAGCGCCCAGTGCCTCGGTGATTATTGCTTAATTACCAAATAAATGAAATCCTTGGAAGCAGGAGTTGCATTCCGTGTAGCAGCTCGCTTTGGCTTCCATTCAGCAAAGCACTTAGGTGCCTTCAGCCTTTCGCTTAGAAATTGAGCGTATTCAAAAAGCAAAGCCCCGGATCGCTCCGCTGCACGTCCCCGCTGCCACGCGGTGCCCTGGCCATTGGGAAATGGTTTTCTGAGCGAAACACACCACGGCTCCAACTCAGCAGGGCTGGGTTTCAACCTTTGGGCTGATCTCAGCTTACCCAGGGGGAATACTTGTCCAGTCTGTCCCCAAAACCTCCCTGCCAGACCCTGGGTCCTCTGCTCTGCCCCCAAACCGCTGGCACCCTGTGCTCCAGGAGGAAGCAGTGCTACCCGCCCATTTTTACATCAGATGTGGGGTAACTTTAGCCAGGCTGTCCCTCCAGGTCACTTTGTGAAAGTCAGGTGGGGCCATTCCCAAAATCTAGACCTGGCATCAACTATTGCTCTCCTCCTTCCTGCCCAGGAAGGAAATGAGATTAATTTAACATGCCTCGGTTTCTGAATAAGCCATGCTGGATGTCCCCCATCTCCCTTTTTATATCCTAGGTGCTTACAAACTATTTGATAGTTCAGCTCCTTTGAAAACTTCTGGAAGTTGACTGGTCTGTATCTCTTTGACTCCTCTTTTCATCCCTCTACATTTGGAGACGAGCACCATGCCTGCATTTTTCCTGTCTCATGGTACCTCTCCAGTCTTCCCAGTGCCCTCAAGAAGTGCTCAGCGATCAGCAGCGAGGCTGCTGCCAACACCTCTGTGCCCCCTTCTCCAGCATGCTCCATCCTTTTTGTAGCATGCAGGCACCTCCTCCAGACTGACACAGCCCTGCTCATGTCCTGGACCTTCTTACTGCTCCCAAGCCTCCAGCCAAAGCCTCTGAAACGTTTCCCAAATTCAGGGAACCTTGTGTGGCTTCAAGCTGTCGGCAGCGCCGTGAAAGACGTACGTGGAGACTTCCAATTACCTAGCAGAGACAATAAATCCCATACTGTTCCTGCTCTACCTAAGATGATTTACTTTCAATCAGCAGGATGTTTCCAGCCGAATGAAGTTTTTCCGTATCAGTGCACATCTCTGGGACTGCAGCGATTTGCTTGAATAAAACTGGGCACGACGGCGCCGGGAGATGATTACACCAGGAGCGCACCGCCAGCAAACACCTCGCAAGCGAACGGCCCGGCTCCTGTAAAAGCAGTCCTTGCTCCTCACCTTCATCTTCACAAATTAAGGGACTGAAGGCACAGCTTTTGGATGGAGATGAATTTCACCTCCCAGGGCTGTGGGTGCGGGGAGGGAAGATGCTGAGCACCGCTCAGCTGGGCTCGGGATTGTCCCCTACATCCTCAGCAGCCCAGGGGAGCTCACAAATGCACCCCGAGGTCCTGCAAGGAAAAACTCCAAAAGCTCTGTGGGCTCTGCTTGCAAACGGGAAGAAAGAAGCATGCAAAAAGCCCTTATTTTAGTACGCAGGGAAGGGAAACGGTTGATCAAATTTTGATGGAAAATTTTCTGCCAGACATAATCAGTTATTTTTTA